GTACAAGATCTGAGTACTTCTACTTTTACTCAAGTACAAGATCTGAGTACTTCTACTTTTACTCAAGAACAAGATCTGAGTACTTCTACTTTTACTCAAGTACAAGATCTGAGTACTTCTACTTTTACTCAAGAACAAGATCTGAGTACTACTACTTTTACTCAAGAACACGATCTGAGTTCTTCTATGGTTACTCAAGTACACGATCTGAGTACTTCTACTTTGACTCAAGTACAAGATCTGAGTACTTCTACTTTTACTAAAGTACAAGATCTGAGTACTTCTACTTTGACTCAAGTACAAGATCTGAGTACTTCTACTTTTACTCAAGAACAAGATCTGAGTACTTCTACTTTTACTCAAGTACAAGATCTGAGTACTTCTACTATTACTAGAGTACAAGATCTGAGTACTTCTACTTTTACTCAAGTATAAGATCTGAGTACTTCTACTTTTACTAAGTACAAATCTGAGTATTTACTTTTACTAAGTACAAGACCTGAGTACTTCTACTTTTACTCAAGTACAAGATCTGAGTACTTCTACTTTTACTCAAGTACAAGATCTGAGTACTTCTACTTTTACTCAAGTACAAGATCTGAGTACTTCTACTTTTACTCAAGTACAAGATCTGAGTATTTATACTTTTACTAAGTACAAGACCTGAGTACTTCTACTTTTACTAAAGTACAAGATCTGAGTACTTCTACTTTTACTAGAGTACAAGATCTGAGTACTTCTACTTTTACTCAAGAACAAGATCTGAGTACTTCTACTTTTACTCAAGAACAAGATCTGAGTACTTCTCCCACCTCTACAAAAGACAAACAGCATGCTGTAAGTCAAGGGAAATACTGATGAGGTAAATCTTTAGTTACTTACATTTAAAGCGGTGTTCGTCCACTTCTTAAAGGATGAATCAACTTGAGTTTAGCACCTGAAGAAAGAGAAAAAGCCAGATGTAAACTCATACTCAAAGGACTAGAAAACCAATATTTTTTCTCCAAACCAGCGAATGGAAATTCACACTTCATTATAGTTGTGAAACAAAAAATCCCAATTCAAGCTGTAACTTCCTGAACAGATGCACTTGTGAAATCTCACCAGCAGATGTCGCTACAGCTTCACATTGACTGGAGACCAGAACTCAATCCGTTCATGTCAGAGTGATGAATGTCTGAGGATCATATTGACTTCACCATTTAAATGTCTTATCTCAGAGCAGTTCTCACTTTCTAAACCTCAACAATATGACATTTACCTTCAATATACATCTGAGCTCTTATAAATATATACGTTAACTACAGGTCAACATTTAAAGGCTCATACCATATCAATTAACCTTTTCCAACAGCTGTAGAAGTTCTCAATATACATGCAATGTTTTTAACTATGTAACAGAAAAATCATCACTTGCTGGGACACAGGTTAATCATTTGGTAAATAGTAATAATGGAAGACATACACAGATGACTTTACTGAATGTAAAATACTTTTGAATCAATAACAGGTAAAAGTATAAAGGTATAATGGCCCGTCTCAATTTGTTTTAATTACTATATCCATTTGTTAGACATGAATGTGAGAAGGCTTGTAATGTTTTATCTACCAAGGTCATGTTTTATCAATACTGTTGGGTAGTTCCACTTATAACCGTGCTATATCAGTGTGTTGTTATATAAGCTGATCCTATGCTTTGTATAATACATAATTATGTGTAGCAATGCATCAACGTAGTAATGTTTGCTTCTAATTTAAAGTGAAGTAAAATTAAGTATTAAGTATTTTCTAGCCTTAAACTTTTAATTGCTATATTTCACGAGTAGCCTACATATCACGCCAATTAGCTTCATATAAAGTATTATTTAAGGGCAGGAGTCCATGAGTCTGTGTGTGTATTCTGGTCCTGTGAGGATCTGCCCGGTGACAAAATGAGAATGACTGGGTCAGGATTATTAATATCTGTGCTCTACACCTCTGCCTGGCATGCGACACACGACTTGTTTACAAACATCACTTCACGAGGGGACTTCAGAGGAGTGACCGGGAACACGGGAACGCGGGAACACACACACACACACACACACACACACACACACACACACACACACACACACACACACACACACACACACACACACACAGACACACACACACACACACACGCACCTATGACACACACACACGTCCCGCCCCCTCTGACAGGCTCATTATAAGGAGGCAGAGCTCGCGCTGAGGGGTTAGTTCAAGACGAGTTGCACGAGGACACTGTGGGACTTTACACTGAGGACAAACTTACATATTTATATTTTATAACTCAGATTTTGGATAATCTCAAACCTGATCACTGGAATAATGAAGTCTCCAAAGCTGAAGCCTCAAGGTAAATACAAAGTTTGTTTTTCTATCCTGTATTATCTTTATTTTTGAATAATAGCACTTGCTTATTACGCTTTAATTGTCTTTAGCTTACTACACCAAGACAATTATCATAGAAAGTATTTAAATGTAATGTTTAAAGTATAAATGTTTAATTATGCATTTTGGAAATCAGGCATCCCTATTTTCACAATATTATTGGTACTTTTGGTTTATTGTCAATCCCTGATATCTTTATATATATTTTCATGTTTTTCCTTATATTTCAAGTTATTCATTTCATATTTTCCTCACTTTTTCCTGCAGCCAAGTTGCTGCAAGAGGATCTGACGGACGTGCTGTGTGAGTTTGACGCGGTGATGGAGGACTTCACGTCGCCGGTGGAGAAACGTCACTTTCGGTACGATGAACACCTGAAGACGATGAAGAGGAGGAGCAGCGCGAGCGTGAGCGACAGCGGCATCAGCGACTCAGAGAGTGAGTGTCAGGAAACCGTTAAATAGTGTGTATTAGTCAGCAAGGTTAGGGAGGACTGTCCTGTCAAATATACTCTGTGGATCATGCAATGACAAAAAGGCCACTTGTGATTTGTGGATGAAGTCAGAGATGCGTTTGGAGGTCCTAAATCATGTCAAGTTACAGAAAGCTGGTTTAAAATGCGCGGGGGGTCAGGCAATGCAGATTCAAGATTCAAAAGCTTTATTGACATATGCACAATAGGTACAGTGCCAGGCGTCTTTACTTCAGACAAAAATGTATAAAAATAGGAATAAAATGTAGTAACAGTAGAAATAAATTCACTATACTCAAAATATCAAATACAAGCAGAATGTAAAATACTGAATAGTGGAATTAAATACTGCTAATTGTAATAAGACATTTTAGAGTTTCTGTATCTGTCACTCATGGCTGACGGTCTGAAGTAGTTTGCCATACAGTCATAGAAATCTGTCTTATTGATCTATAACTCACTGACTCCTCCTCTGTAATGCTTCTTCTTCACTGGAGTGTGCCGTTTCTTATCACGTGGCGTCCCAAGGAGGCTCAGATGGCAGACTGACAAACTGTTGCATCTCTCACACGATCACCTCGAAAAGAGAAGAGACCCTTGATCACAGTCCAGAGATTCAGGCGTCAGATTCATCTGCTGCTGCATAATGCTCACCTGCCCCCAGTATATACTGCGGCTGCTCCTCTAAAGTTTTACCGTCATCCATTACTTATTACTCTAACAGCGGTTTTAAAGTCTGCCTCAGCTGGAGATCTGGCCTGAGGCAGCACTAAAAGAGAAACGCAGAGACAATCAGAGCTCCAGCAGAGAATCCCAGACACGTGTGAGTGGCTTCGGACCTCAGAGGGAAGATGTGGAAATATGTTACAGTCCTAAATCTTCTGGAAAGTTTGTTCCACTGTCTTTCAGTTTGATTCCAGAGACATTTCAAAACATTCGGTGATTGCGTAATAACTGCACACAGGGGTTTTGTGAGAGCATCGCGTCAATTCATGAAGTTACCTCTAGAGGTCTTGCATTAAAAGTCTCGTATCATGCACTTTGTGATGTCTTCTATACATCACCATGTGTCCCCGGTGTCACTCACAAATTGTCAGAACACAAAACCCTCTCTCTTTCCCTCCGTACCCAAATCTCTAAAAACGGGGGAACAACAGAGCTGATCCAGATTTGCGTCCGATATGACATAATATCTGAAATGTGGACCTATCACGGGCCTATCAGAAACGTTGCTATCAGAAACAATGCCCGTCTATTTTGGACGTAATATGGTCGGTGTTCACATTAGCATGGCTAACACTCAGAGCTAACCTGTACTGGAGACAGTGTGTGTGAAGAAGCTCTGAGCTGTGGAGCTCATGAGCTGCTTGATTTGAGGAAGGGATCAGATTCCTGCAGAAGCTCTGTCCTCTCCATGGCAGTGTGAAGAAGAGAGAGCTGTCCCACGCAGACACAACTATTGTGCTGCAGCCTGATGGATGAGAGGAGGGTCGGGCTTCAACTTTTACTCAAGTACA